AGCTCGTGCCACATGTACTCTTGGTACGAAATCACAGCTTTTTCTTCACGGAGGTCGGACGAGTTGGTCAGCCAGTGCTTCCACGTCACGCCCTCGACGGATGGTGCCGAGTTGGCGCCTCTGTACACATACCCCCCGTCGTATTCTTCGCCGACTTTGCCAAAGTTGTGGCCCATCTCATGACGCAGCACCACCGTGCCCGTGGTCGGCGACCGAGTTGCAATGACAAACTCGCCCCCGAGACCCCCGTAGTAATCATCGTTCCCGATCAGCGACGGAAAGTCACACGCACTGACGCCAGTCGCTTTGCACACTTCGCGAGCGTACGCGGCCTTGGAGGTGAAAATGCCCCGCAGTTCAGTCCCCGACCGGTACAGTCCGAAGGCGGTGTCCAGGGGCTTACCTCCCACCCCAATGCCGGACTGGGTCGATGGCACGTAGACGGCCCACACGTTGAAGAGGGGGAGGTACTGGGTGAACGTGTCGCCCTTGAACATCTCGTCCGTCAGCCGCTGGATGTCGCCGAAGAAGCGCGAGTCTTCCGACGCAGTGTAGCCGTCGCCCATGAACACGATGTCAATGCGGTTCTTGGGGTCGCCAGAGTTGACGATGCGACGCACGACGGGGGTCGCCACCACCCTTGGTGCGTCGCCTCTTTCGACCTTGTTGGACTGCAGCGCGCCTTGGGGGCACCGGCGGTGCAGGTGGTTCAACACAGCGTTGGTGCTGCCTCCCAAGATCTCGACAAACGATTGAAGCTTTGCATCCCCTCCTAGGGGGAGGATTATATCGTCGGCGGTGGGCAGATTTTGACGTCCAGTGACGATTTCAAGTGTGTCCGTCGTGCTTTGAATGGCGCGGTGCAGCTGGGTCAAATGGACCGACTCGATGAGTTCGCATTGCGAGGTCTTTGTGTCAACCAGGACCTTGGCCGAGAACGTGTCGAGGGCGTAGACCGCCGTGGCGCCGACGAGGAGGGACTGATACAACTTCATGTGGGCGAGTTGGTGTGTGTCCGCAAGTGAAAATTGAATCGGGTGGTGAAGGATCAGCTTTGGGACCTCATTTCGGACCTAACATGCAGACTGGATGGAGTGGTACACTTGTGGTGGGCTACGCATTTGTAATGTAGGCGCATAATATCCAGCAGTTTCGAGATGTGATTGGTCCTGCTGCTTCGGTTCTTGTTCTTGCCATCTTAGACGGAGCAACATGCAGGAAATTCCTGTCGAAGGCGCACCAGGTACCAGCACGTTTCGTTATTGGAATCAACAGTACGTTATACCAAAGAGATCTTGCCATCACCTCGTGCAGAAATGCTGGCCCACTGCACGCTGCCAAACTAAGGCCCCTGCTAAACCTTTTTTCCCTTGGATTGGGAATTGTCCCAGATGTATACAATACTGTACTAGTATAGCGCTACAGTCTTTACAGTTGCTCATCAATATCCACACATCTCCATTTTCATATGGGTTTTGGTAAATTGACTTTCATTTTCCAACAATTTGGTACAGTCCTGTTGAGGTTTCTAGCGCTACAGATCTTGTCCAGGCAAATAATACTGCTATTGTCGCAGAGTTTTCTAAGTTATACCGGTAAAACGTTAGGGCTAGATTCACACTTAACGACACGGAGGAGCTTAAAAGTGATAGCGGAATTCTGATTCGGCTACCGGTACCAGTAATTGTCGAAGTTTGAGCTAACTTCGAAGTATCAGACATTGGTGGTACAGGCAGCTGAACATATTGATAATATCAGATTCTACAAAACCGCACGTTTCGAACTCATTTTTGGGTATTCTTTCCTGAAATAGTATACAGTACATACAGTGATATAACCATTCTCCATAAAAACCAAACTTGAAATCACTGATAACGTTATCGCAAGGGCCATGCAAAAGTTCCAACGATTGTTCGCAGAAGCACGACTGACGACTCGAAGACGGGGGGTTCCCATTTTCGCTTCGGAGTGCTCGAAACTCGATCCACAAAGGTGCGAACCAGATACTACTAGTAGCATCCAACAAAACTAATACTAGTACAGTACTACATAGTACTTCAAAAGTAGTACTATAATAGTATTTTTAATAGTAGTGCTAGTACGAACTACTAGCTGGTATTATAATAGCATCATCAACCCTAAGCAAGTCTGGGTACGAAAGTAGCCCAAAAACTCATTTCCCCAACCCAGGCGCATTGTCACAAAATCCCGGAAATGAAGTTGTATCAGTCCCTCCTCGTCGGCGCCACGGCGGTCTACGCCCTTCGCACGTTCTCGGCCAAGGTCCTAGTTGACACAAAGACCTCGCAATGCGAACTCATCGAGTCGGTCCATTTGACCC